GTCAGGACTGTGAGTCGGCTCAGCGTAGGGACCATTAAAAAGACACTTCAGATACTGCACACAGGCTCGAAATGTAATCTATAAATCATAACATCTTCAATTTGTATTCAATGGTTTCCTTTGGATCATTCTTAATCTTTGGAGATTATAATTTATACCTTAGAGACGGTTCATTTTGGACATATTTTCCCAATTAGGTGTTCAATACTATTGTAAATGGCTCTGCAACAATGCTGACAGTGATAAAAAACAGCTTCTGCTTTTGCTGATCTTTCATTTTGATAAAGATTAAGGCAGTGAGGGATGCAGAGAATACCAATACAAGCACACACATACAAAAATGAGTATGTAATTTACCCGGTCCATACCTCCTCACACTCATTAATGATAATGAAGGTGACCTTGCTAGAAAAGTACATTCCGGTCTAATCATGTTGATTTTCTCTCGGCTTCCACTTAACTGAAAAGGCAGCACTTGAAAAACTCCATATCAGTTGATTTTGTGTTCAAGAGAGGGAAATGCATAATTTACAGCGTAGGTCTACTTCATGAGGGCACATCATCCACTTAAAACGCAATGTATGATAGCTATAAGGGTTTAAAAGGTGAAAAGATTATCTGTGATGCGATTCATGTTTGAGTGAGAATGCAATACATAATTTTACAAATACAATATCTCCTGATAACATAAGTACTGTAGTTCATGTTAAAAAAGGAGACAAAATAGTGGGCAATGGGCATACAATTATTTCAAAGATACAGGACAGCAAATCATAACGATCTCATTTAGGGATGGAAAATATATCAAAGTATTACACGGCTTAGTGAATTCTCGTTTCTGATAGGTCAATTTGGACATTCCAGAGGTTGAAATTCTCGCTAACAGACCGTTGCTAAGGAGGACTATGTGCAGTCATATCAATCCGCATGAAAAAGCCCCGTAACTTTAACGTCAGCTTTAGCTCCCTCAGAAAACACCATGAAATACTTTACTGTATTTTATAATACTGAGTAATCATTTTTCATATTTTTGCAGACAACGAAACTTTGGATTCATGATGGCTAAACTGTCACCAGTGAAGAAAAGAAAGTGGTTAAAAAACAGAGCTCTGGACGTCAGAAGAAAAACAGAAGAAGACGGACAGGAAGTACACATGATTTAGCATATATAAATATGGTATGAGCTCCGAAATTGTTTTAAGACTGGTTAATGGAAAAGAAAATGTGAACAGACTTGGACAGTTACAGAAGACCTTGATGCTGCCGTCATTTTAAGTTACGTTGCTGTCGCTGATCTCCAGCCAACAAATGTCTTGGCGGAAGCAACACGATCATTTTTAAAATCAATCAAATCATTTTTGAATCAATATTGTACAATCAAGGGTTTATTGTAGCCATGAAATAAGCTGGATAATGTGCATCAAGGCGCTCATATATGAAAAACCATGAAGGTGTATCCCTTACATAACATTGAGATCGTTATGAATCTAGATATTGTCTTGGGTATTATGCACACCGTAATATTTGCAAGTGATGTTTTTCCTTGGCTCTTTTAGTGTTTATGTTATTTTCCATTAACCGCATGGTCATTAAATCCACATTGCTGATCACTCTTTATAATGTAAAGGCATCAATGGTCAACCCTACAATATTGTCTCAACATATATCGATATTGAGGTATTTGTTCAGAGATATGTGGATTCTGGAGTTTCTTCATATCGCCCAGCATACCTCAACTTGATGCCGAACAAAACATCTTTATAAAAGGTTTGTAAACATCACTCTTTTCCGTCACAATAACATTGTTCCCCCATTGTTCTCCATTTCCCTGGATACATCAGATAAGGTTCCAACGTTGTTTCCTGGCAACAATGGTAAACACTTACACTTTGTTCAGGAAGGCATTATGTAACCGTACCACGGATGGGAACATCACTAACAAGTGTGAAAGCAGACCAGCAGTCAGAACCTTTAGGCGCTTTCACACCGGAGTACTAACAAAGTAAAAAAGGCCTGAATCTGAATCACTTAAGCGTATTCGACTTATCAAAGTGTTTTGTATCACTGCAACACTGCAAAGCCAGCTGCAGGAAACAGGCTTGGCGGGAGCAACCATGAATCAAGGCAACATGCCAGATTTAGTCGGCAGCACATTGAACACCCTAAGGTAAAAAAAGCTAAACAGAAATCAGCAGAAATAAATTACTTAAATATGGAAAACACCTTCTGTAGCACACACATGCCAAGAGATGCCTTCGCAAGTACGGGAAACTACAGCAAGTGGAGAGGGGGAACAGAATGTAACAAATGCAGAAATCAGCGGCGGCAGTTGAATAGACAAATGTTAAGTAATTCCTCATTTCAATTCGTCATATAATTAGTGTTTGTTTCTATGTGTTTGTCTTTAGGAAGTGGAAAATCAAGTCAGCAAGCAGGGAACAGGTGTTGGCAAGCGGGCAGATAGATCATAGATGACCCCTGTGTGACACACGTGGATTTCAGTCTCAGATGTCCTTCCTTAAAGGTGAGGCGAGGTGAAGGAAGAAGAGGAGGAGGAGGAGGAGGAGGAGGAGGAGCAAGATGAACAAGCAACAGAAGGCAAGAATGAAGTGAGAAGAAGAGCAGTGGAGAGAACAAGAAGGACAGTGGAGCAGAGAAGAAGGGTGCTGCTGGGAGACTAGCTGATAAATGAAAATGAAAGCGACTTTAAAATGGTTAGAAATCTTACGGGAAGAAAGAACTTTACATGGGGATGTCCTGATAAGTTAGGAGGAAAGGCTGGTACAATCTATTCTTGTCCTGACCCATCATGGTACCCGTGCTCTGTGAACCTGAAACCCTAACCCCCACCCTTCTATAAAGGGCGGGGGTTGATGTAAGCAGCTTGTGTTGCAATGTTTTAGTAACCGGAGTCATAGTAGACAAAATAATCTGCGGCGATTTGGTCACCATCATCATCATCTCTCTGTATCTAAGCCTGTTTAACATAGAGAGAACACATGGCGCGCTGACAGAGTTTGAATACCCTCTGCTTAGGAGGTTAGGTCTTTGGCTGTTTATTTGTTTGTCTGTCAGCAGGATTAAATAGAAAACTACAGTCACCACAAACCTTGGTTTGCAGGCGTAGCATGGGCTGAAGATGAACCCATTACATTTGGGAATTGATCTGAATGACGATGGGAAAATGCAAATGATGTTTTGCTTCTGTTAGCATTGCGAGAGATGGCGTGTGTGCTGAATTTGTGTCAGAATACATCAGAAAAATGAGTTCACTACTGGGAAAAATGTATTTTACATCCCCTCAAGTCATAAACAACTTAGACACATATCTACGTGTTTTCAAATGTTTTAAACTTCTACTTCTTGGTGTCAGTGTTGTGTCATGGTCATGTTCAGGTTTAATATTGTAGTTTGTGACTCTACTGTGTCATGTTTACATGATTTGATGTTCAAAAAGCTCTTTATTTTTCTCATACTGCCTGTGCTGCAGCACCTCTTTTCACCCTCTGTCTGAAACCAGAGCCCAGTCTGCTCTGTAGTGATTGGTCAACCGCTAAGATATGTCCCGCAATAGAAGCACGAGTGTTAGGTAGTGATGTCACTATGTTCCCGAAGTAAAAAAAGGAATCAAGGTGTTTCAGGCATGAGGGGGCGTTTGTGGGAGAGAACATTTGGAATGTTAACCTTTGCAGACCATTTACATGCACTAAAACCTAAATAACACACTACAGTAAAGGGAAATCCAAAAAAGCATAACAGGGCCTCTTTAAAGCTCATGAACATAGTTGGAATAATGACTTTCTGACTAGGGCTATGGAGCCATCTGAGGAGCACATGGCAGTGGCGATGGTCTGTGCTCTGCATCTGCCATTCTAGTTTTTTTTTTTTTTTTATATATATATATGTAGAAATATTGAGCACATATCGATATAGAGCTTATGATATCATCCACCCTCAGAGAAAACGAGCAATCTACCACAAGTGAAATGATAACAATGAGCGTGGGCCCTCGTGGTGAGTAATATAACAGTTCTTTGCTGAGAATCACACACGCCAAAGATACAGATGACGTGTCCAAACACTCAGAATCTTCCATCTCTCAGTTACAAGTCACTTTAAAAGAATTGCCACCGACAGTGACACAAGTGTGCCAACATCCTGTTTTGATTTATAAAGAAACATATCCCTCTTTAAAAACCCATTAACATGATTATAATTTATGACTTAAATAACACACTCTGCTCTGCATAATGAGTATTACAAGACTCCGTCACTCCATGTCCCTCTACGGGCCGTAATCTCATAAAAATTGTACTTGGATTGAATTTCTGTCAGCCCATTTGCAAAAGCAATCAACTGGAGCCTCCGTAAAAAAGAAAATACAATTACCCATAAGAGACGGCGCCTTTTAAAGAGTGACCCTGAGAATAACCTTTGACAGGCTCTCTCCCTCCGCACTCGCAAACATATACACAATATTTAAATCGGCTGCTTAGTCTCAGCCTTCTCCTTCCCATCTGTATTCACTTCCTCCTTCCCGCAACACACACACACACACACACACACACACACACACACACACACACACACACACACACTCCCCAGAACAACCTAATCTTGTGTGATACAGAACAGTAACTAATACATCCACAGGCCATTTCTGCTTTGACTTGCATTTTCTTACACATCTTAATATCCATGACGCAATTTCATTACCCGTCGGGCTTTAACACAGCCAGTGAAGAACAGCATCTGTTTTAAGGAGCCACAGGTAACTAATACATAAAGAATAAGGCAAGTGAATATGCATTTAAATATGTGGCTCTCAGAGGTAAGGCATTTTGAAAACAGCAGCCTTGCCAGTTAAGCTTCTCCAATGGCCCCCTCTTTTGGCAAGGAGTGGGAGTTGAAGCAATAAACTGCTGACACAGAGCAGTGGCTCGCTGTTGTTTACTACCCTCAAATGATTGTAATTACTAGATAAATGGCGGTGATTGTAATTATTAATTTTTTTGCTATGTGTTAAGATGGTGTGGGTGGGTAGTACCTGAGAGTCGGTGTTGCTTGGTGCTCACTCGGTTGTTGTTTTGGACGGTGCAGCAGAGGTGGAGCATGGCAAACATGGTGAGGATCATCACCACACTCTGGAGCAGCAGGGTGAGCTCAAACTGTTTCCCTATCCTGCAAGGACGCAACCAAAGCAACGATACAAATCAGAGAAACTTTTGGGATACAAAATAAAAAGACACTATAAGAGTCTAGTATGGCCTTTGCACTAAAAGTAAGACACAACACATACACAAGGCCTGTGTACATCCTCATACAACAGTAAACTATTCATTCACCAATATAGGTTTTATTATTACAGGGCATGTCATGGAGGCTTTCAGCGTCACAAAATGACCTTATAAATAATACAATCTTCCAACCCGATTCTGTAAAATATCTATTTAATTCCCTCCTCAGCGCCTCCAGTCAGAACAATGACCTTTGCCCTCTGCTGTGTGAAAGAGCCTTTGTAAAATCTTAAAGAGAACAGTAAAAAGCTCAGATAATATAATTCATCTAGTTTTATTCTGTGATCATATTCCAATTTCATCCATTTTTGACACCAAGACTGAGCTAAGGAATGACCTTTGTGCCCTACGAAGAGCAAAAAGAAGAAAGAAGACAGGAAAAAAATATAAATGTCAGAATCAGAGGAAATGAAAAGCCTTCCGCTCTGTTGCTCACCAGAAGAAGATGCGCAGGATGTTGGCGATGAGCAGCACGAGGCAGACTCTGGTGGAGAAGCCTTCGCTGTGGTTGCTCCTCTGGATGTCCTGGTACTGGGGCACATAGGGCAGGGCCCCCCCGAACACCATGAGTAAGGACGCCATCCAGGATAGCAGGGACCACGAGGCCTCCGTGTCCCCACCCTGCAGAAGCTCCTCTCCATCCATCACACAGGGGGCAGCTCAAGGGTTAGGGGCACTCCTGAGAGGAAGCAGAATGAAGGAGATCTAATGGATGCTCAGCAGTTAGCCTGATGGATGCTGTGAGGTAGCCAGAGGTCAATAACAGGCCCTGAAGTGAACATTACCCTGGAGTCCATCAGCAATACAATGTATTAAGCTAATTGTTTTAAATACTTCAGGTATGGATTTGATTGTGTCTGTTTTAAATAGCTCTCCTTGCTGAATACAATGTATCCTCACTATACATAAAACACAATGACTCACGCTAAACTCATGCAAACTTTGATGTATCTTCAGAGAAAATATAATGTTTATGCAACGTTAGTCCTTTTGCTGAAGACTTTTTAGACATATTACTTTAAAAAAAATAAAAAAAAATGAATTATGGCTTAATTTAGGGCTGCAACAATTCAAAAAACAAAGATAATTGCTAAATATTCCATTAGTATTAGTATTATTTCACATTAAAGAATGTTTGAAAATGCTATTTTGGCCTCTAAAACATGTAGATTTCCCCCTTTTGTGTGTTTTATATATTATATTAATCTATATATCTTTGAGTTTTAAACTGACTATTAAATACATTTAAAGACATCATCCTTGGGCTAGGGGACAATGGATTTAGATACAAAATTAAGAAAAAAGATCTATTAATCCATAAAATAATCAGCAGAACAATAATGAAATGGTTTGATGCAGTCCTAGCTGAATAACATGTAGCTTCAGGTTCCGAGTTCTGCTGATGTGTATCACACTGTCATGGCTCACTGACAGTATAGAAAAGAACATTATGTTATTAGTAACACCTGTGCTGCTCCTCCTACTGTATGACAAGTCAGAATGACTGCAGTTACACAGTATGGTTACTTTAGATCAGGGTTGTCCAAACAACGGCCCCGGGGCCAACTGTGGCCCATCGGACATCAGCCAATTCAACAAGTATAACGGAATATGGCCGACACCTGAAACTTGTACTTTTCTTATATTGTGCTTCTTAAATATATACAGTATGTAAACCGATATTACACAGTAGTATTTGTTTGTTAATAAGACCACGTTTCAAATGAATTCAGTCAATTAAAGTCCAATAACTCATTTGCATAACAAGCATGAAACAGGCACTTCCTATTTCCCCTCATTATAAACAATCTGAGGCTTCTGTTTTAAGGGATAAGCTGCCAACACTTTTATAACAAATAAATGAAACCCTATGGAGCGCTGTGATGTAGGCAGTTTTTTTTCTTAACGCATATTCAATATATAATAATTGACCTACATTTGATTGATTTTGCTAACTTATAACTAAACTTATGTATATAACTTATATACCTCACCTCAAGTGAGTGACCCAGCCCTTCGCATGTTTTTCTATATGTGGCCTTCACTGAAAAGAGTTTGGACACCCCTGCATATGATGGTAAATTACTGTTGTGTTCATTCTTGATGTGCTGGAGTCCACAATAGAGAATATAACTATTCTATCAGTCTTTGAAAGCAGCAGCAACAATACAGTATACCGCTTGAGCCCGTGACCGTGTGTTCTGCGGCTTCTGTATTTATCCAAGTCATCATCTCTTAACGTGTTGAGGTTTAACCGGTCCCTCCAGCATTTCCCTTTTCTTACATTTTATAATGCACTCACATTATTGAGGAAGTAGATTCCCTTATAGAGCGATTTGCCTTTCAAAACAGTTCCTATTCATTCAATGTTTGAGTATTAATTGTCTTATTGATGACATATAACATTTAAAGCTTAAAAAGTTCAAATCAGTTTAGCTTCTTTACCTTTTAAATTCTAATCTATGTAACAAATCGTTAACTTTCACAATTATAGCGTATACAAACATTTTTATAATTCTCTAGCTGTGACCTAAATGCAAGTACAATGCATGCACAATATGCCTTCATATTAGGGCTGCTCAATTAATCGTGTTTTAATCGCAATTACGATTTTGGCTTGCAACGACTATGAAAACAACATAATCGAAATAAAACGATTTTTTTTAAATTGGTTTTTCAGTTGAATTATACTTAACGTTCAGGGTAATCAACTGTTAAAAACATACTGTTCACATTTATTTTTTAAATAAATGGATGTTTTCAAAGTAAATGGATAATCCTTTTTAATAATTGTGATATCAATTATTGACCCAAATAATCGAGATTATGATTTTTGCCATAATCGAGCAGCCCTACTTCATACAGTATACTCATGTACACCTGAAGTATACCTATACTGTGTGTGCTAGTATACAAGAAACACATTTCTGCAATAGTTTCCATATTTAAAGATTGAAAAGTCATATCAGTTTAATTATTACGTTTTCTCCGTTATGAATATGTTGGCTGTGCAGGACACATTTGCAACTGGAGCTCGCAAAATAGATTTTCTTTTTACAATTACATTAAGTTGGGTGGTAACGTGGGCTTATACATTTTACAGAAAGGTAGAGGTGTGTGTGTTTTATGTATGAGCAGCCACATAGACAGACGGGGATGACAGGTGTGGAATTTGAAGCTAAATATGTGGAAACCTCCCACAGAGAGGGAACAAGTGGAGTTCTAGGAAAGGTCAAACAGACAGTATCCTGAGAAGGCAGAGATGACAGGCAGGTGTGACAGCTGAGTGGGTGGGAGGGGTCAGCATTAGCTGGTACAGTGGAGATAACAAAAAGCGAGTCGAGCTATAAAATAACTGTCAACTATTTTTGTATTTCCTAAAATAAAAATAAACGTATACTACTACTTGGGAACAACAGAAGACATTCAAAAGAAAGATTCCTACTTATTCCTATTAGTAATCAAACAAATTACAAGGAATTGGTAATCACCACTATAAATGGAAGAACCATTTAGATATGGAATGAAAAAATAACCAGGAAAATCAAGTTCATTTCTTTGCAAATAGATGGGAAAGTGGCTAAAGTAGGCAAAACACAAGATTGCTTTTGATACTTCAATTAGATATCACAATTATTGAACTTGTGAGAATTTATGATAAATCTGTTATCTGTTAACAAAATTATTTATGTTTTTCTTCTTTTTCTGATTTTTGTGTTGTGTTTATGTTTTAACTGTGTTTCATTTGGTTGTGTATGCCCTTAAACCAGTGTTTCTCAAACTTTTTCATACCAAGGACCACTTAACCAATAAAAAAACACTCGCGGACCACCTACTGTAACTCCACGAATATCCAAAATCACATCGTTTTTCTAGAACATATTTCAAATCGCCTGAAAATGGTACAAACAAGTGGCAACATGTTTGATGAAGGTATTGCGCTGGGCTATATCATGCAATCGAAAGTGAAACTTAATCTCGCTCCATTGCGGAGATATTCCCGCGAGAGTGCGGAAAACCTAAATGAATGTATTTATTTCGAATGTGAAATGTTACCAATATACTCACGGACCACTAGGGGACGCTCAAGGACCACTAGGGGGCGCTCACGGACCACACTTTGAGAAGCACTGCCTTAAACCCTATCATCTCTTTAAAAAGTATGACGACTATTCCGTGTCTCCTCCTGCTAACTGACTTCTCTCTGAAAACTCACCACAGGTCCTCACACACACTTAATGCCCTGTGTGCAGCATAACTAGTTCAGCTACTTGGCTACTCTAATCTTTGAAATAGTGACGTTTTGTGCTAGCCAGCATTCTTGAAGGGATAATAACATAAAGGATACAAATGTTTCCCTCTTTCTCCAGGGAACTCTAGAGAACAAATAGAATGATTAATTACATTTTAGACAATGTGATACGGACAGAAAACTCCTTGGAAATGAGAATGTCACGTGGACACATTTGATGTTTAGCCAGTATGTTGCTCTGTACACAAAAGCATGACCTACATCTTCTGAGCAAATACTGAATGTGTTACTCTTCAGGTCACTTAATAGTATGGTTGCCATTGACACATCTATACCAGAGGGCCAACAAGAATATAAACTCCTTGGCTCAAATATATGTTTGGCATTTTCAGCTGACAAGTCACTGGGTAAATCTTAGAGGGCCAGTCAATGCACCAGGAAGTTATTTAGTAAAAAAAAGGTCAGCAGCAGGTTTAATGATGGTATTTATTTTACATACTTGGTTTATGATAGCTGAGAAAAAGGTTATTTCAACATGACAGGAGATGCAGCGTACATGGAGCACCGAGAGTCACCCAGAAAAGGATCAGGGTCTGATAACTCATTAGACATATTATATTTCTCATAACTCAGCTGCAAGTAAGGACAGAAATAAGGACAGACCTCACTGCTGGAGGAGAAGCCAGTTCAAGTTATAAACTCTCACAAAACATTTACAACTATACAGTTACAGCTATGAAATGCAGTAACATATTGTCAATCCAGGGTGAAAAAGGCTAGTAAATACATTGGTCAGTTTATTTGAAAATAAATGTCAGAGCAAGATGAGTTGTGTACAGTCTATGGTTGTAATGTTTATTCACTTCATCTGATAAATATAAAAAAAATCCCTTTATTAATTGGTCCCTTGCCTCACGTCATTTTGAAAAAAGCTATGAAAGTTAATGCTAGGTCAATGCACTTGGAACACAGCCTATAACAAGTTTGTTTTTATAGGTTTCCTACAGTTAAACATTACTCAAGTATTTAACAATCTAAGGTGTCTTCAGCTATTTCCCTCCTCGGGTTGTGTGAGTAAACCATCACACACACACACACACACACACACACACACACACACACACACACACACACACACACACACACACACACACACACAGTAAAGTAAATATGTTGGGCCACTTCTAGTAAGAGGACATACTGTTATGCAAGATAAGCATAGCTTCACGGGGTTGGGTCACTGACATGCCTGAACATACAGGCATCATTTTTGGGCAGTAACAGCAACATCACACAAAGAAGCAGCTGTTACACCGTCTGTTTAAATTGTTGTAGACTCATATGAGGACATTAAACATGTGAACGCTAATGCCAAACGTACAGAATCATTTTTGTATTTAAAAAGCGCGTTTACAGCTCGCGCGATGTATCGCTCCTGATATAGATTTTAAGTCAAAGTAGCATCATTTCAGTTTTAACGTTGTATGGGTAAACCGTGGACTACTTCTAACTTTACTCACCAGTCGTCTTTATTCACTTTCCTTCGCCTTTTAAAAACACAAACAGTCACAATGATGTTTCAGCGTCAAAACACATTGTGTTCCCTGGCAGCTCCAACTATCAAACCCCAACTCGATCTCAAGAGAGGAGGCGGAACGTGCACGCGCAAGCAGGCATACAAACACACGCGCGCACGGATACTTTTAGACTTTCCAAATGTATGAAACATGAGAGTCGTTGGGTCACCTAATGATATGCTGCCCCTGGTAAAACAAGTGCGTTGAATGAGTGTCGCATTTTTTTCTTGGGGGCCATAAGGGGTTAAACACAACTACTATTTTATTGTATTGCTTCATTCAATACTCAATGTTCCACATTTCTTAGCGGCCACACAGCTCTCGCGAGACTCTGTGTTATGTAGAACAGCTGACTGTGCTGGGTGGTGCTATCGAGGGAGGGCTACCTATTTCGAACTGTTACAAGCTTGATATATCCATAATTGCTAAACAGCATTTTCAGTTCTACTACTGTTTAGACATTGATAATAACTTCCACCACAACATGGCTGAGACGGACCCCAAGTCGGTGCAGGACCTTACCAATGTGGTGAGTCGAGAGCGTAATGACACGCTAGCGTTATCTACAGCAGCATAGCTAGCAAAAGCAATAAGAATGCTAACGGTGGACAGTTAACGTTAGCTGTTTGCATCAGCTGTATAGTGCATCCGTAGCCTTTTGTGTTATTAACGTTTTTGAAATAAAATAGATTCATGGATTCGGTTTGATCAACTTGTGTACTGAAGCCAGCATGTTTTGTTTAGCACGTTATATAACGTGAATGGTCAGTTGGGCTTTTACATGACATCATCAAATCACAACCGAGCAAAATGCATAGCTATACACAACAGAAGTGTTGCTGCCGTGTGATTCTTCTTTAAAGAGGCTTGTTTTAATAAATGTATATTTTAAGCATTAAGAACATTGTGCAGTATCACTCAGATATAGCACAATGCGATGTTCCAGATTAATTCTACCTGTTCATTATACTTGGGTAATGTTTCCTAGTGTTGTCATGGAGATAATGTAGAAAAGTCGTTAAACTTCAGTTAACCTCCCAAACATGTATCAATCCCCTGTGGTATTTATGTCTTTCTATACACATTTGTGTTCCAATACTTTTGTTTTAAAACCATCTTCAAAGACGCCCAGTTACTCTAGATTTAGTTGTTTTTTATCATTCTGCCTCTTAAACAAACGTTTTTGACATAATAAAGAATAAAACAAGTGAAAAATTGTTGACTGGTGTATACTTAAGAAACCACCATCAGAGAACCCCATATAATGATGAACACCAATGCAGAGAAGTATGAACTTATTGTGAGTTAATTGTTCTGCACATATGCTTATCACACTAACTGGATTAAATAATCATCTCCCGTGATTACTGAGATTTTACATTGTTGTCAAGGAAACTAGTTACTTTCACTGTCCTTTTTTAAACCATTCAGAGATGGTGCATTAGAGTGGGAGTGCTGATGTTTGTCACTGGCAGAGCTATTGTTAATAATGAATAGTCAGCTGACAGCAATATTATTTATATCTGCTCAATTGTGTGATCTCTAAATGCAACTGGTACGTCTGATGTGTGGCTGCCATCAGTGAACCTACTTTACTCACTAGATACATTTATGTGTGGCTTATTGTTTCACTGACATGATTTCTGTGTGCTCGTTTCCCAGGTCCAGACACTGCTGCAACAGATGCAGGACAAGTTCCAGACCATGTCAGACCAGATCATCGGAAGGAATATCCTTACTAATAAAACAAATGAAATAAGATTTAATTGATTTATATGCACTGGTCAATCTAATATGGTAATGGTTCATGGCTTAAAGGTAGATGTACAGACTGAAGTAAAACCCAATTTTGCCTATATAACAGTAACTTTGTGTTTTTGTCTAAGTTGTCTACCTTAACTGTTTCTCCACTTGATGAGATGAGCACGCGTATTGATGATTTGGAGAAGAACATCTCCGACCTGATGACCCAGGCTGGAGTTGAAGAGATTGAGGCGGCACCGGAAAAGCCTAAAGATGGTCAAGGCTCCTAATGAAGGTGAGCCGTAAACCCAGCTAGCATTTAAAGCCGACAAAAAAAACAGTTCACACCGATGGCTTTTATTCATGCCCCTCTTTCCCCTCGACTCATGCATCTTAAATGGGACAGTTCACACCAAAATGAAAACACGTTTTACTCTTACTTGTTTATCAATTTAGATAGGTAGGTTTTGTTTGACTTTTTTTAATAATGCAAATAGAATTGCTAAATGCGCTAAAACAATAATATTGAAAATTCGTTTCTTCAGAGATCATGACCCTGGAATCCGTCCATCATTAACCTTTACTACAGATTGATAAGTAGGCCTACCACTAAAAAAGGGGAACATTTATATTTGAATCTGTTGTGAATTTTCCCTTCTATGAATATAAAGAAATCATTCATATTTGGAAGATTGGATGAGTTTTAAATGTTATTAAGGAGTTTGTTTTTGCCAGATTTAAAATGTGGAAAAATGCAGGCTCATGCGATTTTAGTTGGATTAACTTCCTTCATTCCTTTAAACCAGTTAACTAAACGCACCTTTGTTTTGTCTGTCCGCAGGTTCCTAAGTAACACGGAGTGAAGTCTACAGGAGACTTTTTCCATTTTGAAAATTGACTAATATTGATTTAGTGTGTCGTTGTGTGAAATGCTTTTTTATATATGGATTATTGTGATAAACGGTTACAGTTATGAAATGACTTGAAAAGTTATTCGTAAACTAGAATAGTGTGATATTCCCCTCAGAACTTTAAACGCTCACGTGCAGAAATGCAATTTAGGGATTTTTTTGTGCACTGGCCCCAGAGGTTATTAGATAATATATCTTAGATAGATAAATCCCATGAAGCGATGACTGATGGAAATGTTTTGCCTGTGCTGGGAAGTACAACATGCAGGCCAGTGGAACCTCCATCCGTACCAACATGGGCGCAGTGAACATCTGAAGCCTGTAGAGTTGACAGAGCACTGTTAGTACCAGGCTGTGGGTTGCATTCCAATTTCAGCTGATTTTCTTCTATTAAAGCTATTTAATACAATGCTGTCTGTCATGTATTACATAATTCATATTTGACAAGGTGCTGAGTGAATTTTTTAAAATATTAACTCCTAGGTGCTCAGTGTTTTTCTGTATTTATTTTTTTAAGCCAGAGTTGTATTTTATCATGCAAGTGATCTGGAATGTTAGCATGTTTGTTTTGGTCTATAATGTGTTGAAATGCAATTCATTATTACACTAAACTAAGCTGGAAAATGGTGAAGTTACCTTCTTAACAGGAGGTTTCTAACTGACCATGATCGTGCACCAAATTAACAAGTATTTGCAGAAATGTCCACGGACGAGTGTGTCACTTTACTGTGTAGTAGGAACCTTTATTCAAATTAGTGAAAACACATTGTACAAAGAAAACAAGCAACAGAACTAAGTACCAAAAGCATTAGACAAATGCACAGCTGTAAACGAAACGTGTCACACTATCACATGAAGTCCCCAGTAATTTAATATGAATGCAATATTAAAGTTCTGTATGTATTACAGTCATTGGTTCCTTATCTGCAATAACCATCATCTAGTGAGACTGGGGTTTTTAGAGGCTTAAAGTTAGAACTCAAAGTCTGCCTCCGTCATGTCGAGGGCCCAGGCAAACTTGTCCCTCTGGCTCTTATTGTAGATTTTATCTACGGGTACGACCATGTTCCGACACCTGAAAAAATATACGATTGTTTAGCATCCTCTGCAAAATAAATACAGCTGAAATCACTACTTAGTCTTCAAAGTTGTCAAAATCATTGTTTCTTAAGCTTGCACAAAGTTATACCAATGGAATGTATAAATAATTCTAACACTTTATGTTTTATATTAATTTGGTTTCTTGTGTGTATGGCAAAGAAATTAGTTACACAAGTGCTTTTACTGTGTTTGAAGATGACCAAACTAATGTAATGGAGAAATTAAAAAGACATTTCAACCGTAGCTTTAAATAAAAATTACTTCAGCTTTGAGGCTAGAGAGGAAAACAATATAGTTGGTATTGTTAAACAACGTTAAGAAAAAATAAATTAAATTCCATATGACAAATTATATATGTTGTATATCTCTACTGCAGAAATGTCTTAAAATACTTTAACTTAATCTATAGAACATATTATGTTGTCTCACGATCTGTTTTAAAGCCAGAGTAGAAAAAGTGTCATACCACAAAAATGTATTTTAGCTGTTATTATATATCATGGAAGTCACAGCAAGGCTAATGATCTGTAAACTCATTTTTCCAACTTTGTTATTACTAGACTAGAAATGCTTCGCTGCTCTCTCATTGGAGTTCTTAAGGAGCCAATGAGAGTTATTCCAGAAAGACTGGTTAGTTAGAAGTTGGTTTGTGTACATATTTGGTCAGACAATGGAACTCAGCTTAAGATGGAGGTTTACAGTGATTAAGCAACCATCTTCAATGGACTGGAAAACCCAAATATCTGGCTGACCAATAAGCTTGCTTGGTGAAACAGGCTAGGAAAGAGGTGGTTTGATTTGAAAACCCACCTTGTATTTTGACAGGTGCAGGGCTTTAGACAGCGACTATGGGCAACCCAGTTGTTTATATTGACCGTGTCAGTGTTCACTGTTCACTCACCAAGCCACGCTGATGCGGGGGTCCAGGTAGTTCAGCTTGGAGGTGCCCAGTGAGATCTGCTTGTTTTCCTCTTTGTCAGTCGCCTGCAACTCCATCTTCAGCAGCAGCTCCTCACAGCGCTGCACCGCCGCCATTTTCTTCTCCACCAGCCTGACAGGAAACAAAAGGAAGGTGCGACACAGTCAGACACCTCTGGTTAGGGTGCATACCGGTACCCGGTATTACCGAAATACCGGTTACTGGCAGCTACGGTATACCGTACCGAAATCAGATCAGATTTTTGACATTTATTTAATTTTTTATGAAAGTGAGGCGTAATATCCTTAAACTCGCCACCAAACCTTCAAAATTACGATGTCAATTTTGCCGTGAAACTCCGCAAACGAGTCACTGTGGAGTGTGGGCCGCATTTATTGTTTTCTTTCATCAGGCAAATGTTGATTTTAATTATGCTATTTGTTTTATGTGCAATGCCGAGATCTCATGAACCTTTATGTGTTCTCTGGTCAGTGGAATCTCAGGTTGAATATTGATTATACTACTGGTGCTATTTTCTTTTTGCATTGACAAGATGTACTATTCACGCCTGATGGTTGTTATAAATGATATTGCAGAATCTGTTTTCTTCATCGATAACATGTTGTTTGTTCAGTACTAAAAGGTCCCACAATTGAATTTAATATTCATTTGACATGTTAACTATATCATAAAGTGCTTCATGGGAGTAATTGCGGGATGATTCAATTATGCAACATGAAAGTAACACGATATGTATCGGTTGAGTATTGGTATCGTTCAGTGGTATTGGTATCGTAAAAAAGTCAACGATATGCAACCCGACCTCTGGTAAAAACAAGACTCCTGGTGTGGTCTTTTAAGACCTTTCTACTTCTTAGGCAAGCAAAACCACTGGTTCACTACTATGTACAGTATGGCTGGTTTAAAAGGAGAAAATCAAATATTACAATATTTTTGAACAAGAACCTGATATTGTTATTGCAAAAGAATTGTAGGATTGACCTTTCCTGCTTTCATAAAATATAAACATAAGATTGCTGATAAATACTTGTCAGTGATGTTGATACAATGACTAAGTGGGGAAGGGCAAATAATTGAACAGGTAAACGTTTGGAAAGTTAAGAAAAATGACATCTCTTAAGTGTTAAGCCGTTTTAAAAACCAGGAAATAAACAACACTACATATTAGGATATCTTAAATCTAACACTAAAGCTTGCCTTATATCAAAATATCAATACTCTACACCAGGGGTCTCCAACACTTCGATCGCGAGCTACCGGTAGCTTGCAAGCCCTCAAGAAGTAGCTCCCAAGCAAATCCATAAATATTAAAAATACACAAAAAAAAGAAAGAAATGTACCGGTAATTAAAATAATCTACCCCATGCATAAACGAAACCTCAATCGTAGCGAACTCTATCTACTTACTACAACTCTATATCTATCTAACACCCCTCCTCCCCCCACCCCCCACAATGAATATCGACCAATCACGTTCTTGCTTAATTTGCGGGACCAGCGTTGCAGTCGGGAAGAAAAGCAATGTGGAGCGGCAGCTAACTGCTTCATAAGGAGTGCGACCTTTCCTTCAGGCAGAATCTACACAAAACATCAGCCCCATTGAACAGCCTAGTCGTGCCAACCTATACAACACCTGAGGGTCAGAGTTTTACTCTGTGTGTGTTGCAACTTGCATATTTATATTTATTGCACTTGACGCACGCCGTCATTTCCACTGGGGACAAGGGGGACATGTGGGGACAAGGGGGATATGTCCCCCCCACTTTTCGAAATCCCGTTTGTGTCCCCCCACTTTACAAATATGTTTATTTATTTTTTTTACCGCAAGCTGTCATCGCCACGGAGGAGCACACAGCCTCTGTGAGCGAGCGAGACAGAGAAAGAGAGCTAGGGAGAGCTAGGGAGAGCAAGGGAGAGCACACCTTTATCTATTTAATATAGTTGTAAAAAATAAAGTAAGAAATCATTCCAATGTAGGACAGTAGGACAGCATGCCCCAGACCCCCCTAGAGGATGTGAGGTCACCCCCCCCAAATAAAGCAGGTTCAAATTATTTAATTGCATACATTTTCTTTTAGTAAGCACTGAAAACGGGTCCCACAGACCCAAATAGCACACAAAGGTTAAAGGTAGGCATATAATGTTAACATGTGTTAAATGTATACACTGCAAAAAACAAAAAAAGAGGAGTAAAAGCAGCTCACGACTTGTTTTATTTTTTGAAAGTAGCTCTCATCCTAAAAAAGGTTGGAGACCCCTGCTCTACACGTATCCAGTAAACAAACATTTTGATTGTGTATTAAAAGGTAATACACAGAAAAGCTGTTCCATTGAGGAAGTCTTACACTGTAGCGTCAAACTAAAAGTGTTAGTATTTGCCTTTTGGCTCGAGGGCAGAGGAGGTGGTTGCATATTATATATCTTTTACCTGTAGCTCATTATTCACTGTGAAGCAGTTATTCTTTGTTGTTTGGAGGCACGAAACTTTCCACAAGTAACTATTGTTTTTTATTTCTAATAGTTTTAAAGGTCCCATTTCATGGCCATTTCCACTGATCATAATTCCATTGTTGAGGTCTACTAGAATAGATTTATATTTTGCAATTTTCCAAAATCACTTTGGTTCTGAGACTGCCAAGGCACACNCTCTATTGTGCTAATTTTCAGGTTTTATAATTGGATTTTGTTCCCCTACTGTGACATGTTTACATGCTTTAATGTTCAAAAATTGCTTTCTTTTTCTCATACTGCCTGTGCTGCAGCACCTCTTTTCACCCTATGTCTGAAACCAGAGCCCAGTCTGCTCTTATTGGGTAGCTGGCCAACTCTGTTGTGACAGGTTATGATTAGAAAAAACAACAAAATCATTTTAGAATCATAAATCTATCAATCATAAATCTATCGATTAGATTTATGATTAGAAAATTATAAAAGTACGGTAGACATGCGGATATTATCCGGCTGAACAAACGTACATTTATCTACAGTAACAGGTTTGTTTTCCACAGACCTTATTTCAAGCTATTTTCCAAAATCCTATGGAGAAATCTCATTGCTTTTTTGTCGAGGGAACCCATGCGCAGCTTACTTCCAGGTTTTAGGACGCGTAACTCCACCACTCTGCTGGTTATGAACAAGACTTCACTTTAAAATAGGGAACATGTTCTTAGATATAAATACCTAATTTTGAGTTATTTAGACACCATTAACACTTATAGTTTCATGCCTTGTTACATAAGAATAGATCATATTTGTTAAGTGTTATTATGGTATAATTACTATTCTTGTGGTACTACTGCCTTATTAGGCCCATATTGAGCAGGGCATATTAAGACCAAAACTCATGTACAACAACTTCCTAACTTGCAATAAATAAGCACTAATTAGAGGGTTATTGAGGAAAAACTCTCAACTAATGGCTTATTACTTGTAGAACATGGTCATGTAGAATAAGGCAATTATAAGTGTTTTATAAAGGGCCAATATACTGCTAATATGCATGTTAATCAACAACTAGTTGATGGTTAATTTGTGTATATTCGGGATTGTGGGAAATTGTATTTCGATCTCTCTGTCTGTACACACAAACTGAAAGATTGACTATAAAGTTGACTTTTACTTGATTTAAAGTCAGATAATTTACATGCAGATCATTTACATGCATACACATCTATAGAATACACTACAGGACAGGGAAAACACCCCCCCAAAAAAACATTATTGGGCCCCTTAAACAGTATTTGTCATAGATCTTGATCTAGAGCAAGTCATAGATCTGGGCCTAATTGAAGCGAGTGCCAGCTCTGTGTGTGTGAGGTTCCTTGTGTCTTGTACATATTATCGTTTCTGAAAAAACAGTTAGTAAGGCAGTGAAGAATATGATGACTCTGCCACTCACCCTTATCTGAAACACTCAGGCAGCACTGCAGCAGGAAATATAAGGTGTAACAAAGCACACACACACACACACACACACACACACACACACACACACACACACACACACACACACACACACACACACACACATCGACACGAACAGACCCAACCTATTTAATTTACATATCCTACAACACACTGACAAAATATTCTGCTCACTTTCAACGTCAAGTGTGTTTAATTAAACCCCTGATAACAGCAACACTAATTAGCAAGTCAAATGAATTCAGGTATAGTAAAGGTGCTTTGAATGTTTAAAAAAATTGAAATGATATAACGTGCCCTGGAGGGTATTTATGAAGATTATTTTTCTCCTTGTAAGTTCTCAAGATGAAGCTTATAGAAGAGCCGCAATGTGAAAACACTTTCCAAAACCGAAGATACATTTTTTTTTATAACATTAAGATTTTCCCCCAGTCAGTGTTGTGCATTTGGCAAGGGGAGTGATAGCAAGTTGTTGGATATTTAAGCCAAAACACTCTGATGTCACATGGCCCTCGAGGGCTGTTTGTTGTCCCACATTAGTAAGAATGTGTGCAAACTGCTATCCTCCAAAGTGCGTGTATGTGTTTTTGTTATACACTACATCATTAATAATGGCTGAATTTCTTTTTGGTTTCCGAGTCCTGATATCGTACCTGCTGGCTCACTGTCACGGCTTACTGGGACAGTTGAAAATAACGGAGCCATTGTTGATGTTATTAGTAACGCCAAATAACAATGGGAAGAGGCAAAAGGCTCCTACCAGCAGCTGTTCTAATTCTGTGGCGAAGTGCGCCTCAAAGTTAGGGAAACCAAACTAAAAGTTGAGGTTGGTTTAACTTCACTTCACTACTACTAATTAATGAACAGTCTTCTTAAGTTGTACAGTATGGAAAATGATGTACCGGTAGTAGTTTTAATTGAGTAGGTTCCAGGTCTGGATAAATATGAAAAATAATAAGGACAGAATGTACAAATATTTTTTTTTCCAGTCTAGTGCCAATATTTTCTTCTCTAAATTATAACATTTTGATTTTGCGAAAATTGCATATTGAATTGTATCAGATACAGTTCCTGGCTACAATTGTCTGTCAAATATTTGACAATAGTCCGAATGAAACAAACTCATTTTAAACTTAGAACAATTTATCGACATAAAAACATCTAGCTATCTGTACTTGGATGTCAACGATGCTCTAAAACTCTACAGATGAGTCAG